GTGGATGCAGCAGCTCCAGGCGCCCCTGGCTCCGCGGGGGAAGGCGACAGGTAAAGCCTTTCCCTCCCCGCCCATCCGCATTGCATCCTCACCCGCCCTCCGCTCGGAGCTGCCGGCTCGGGGGGCTCTTGCCGAGCCAAGAGCCGGAGGCTGCCCGAGGCATGAGTTGTGTGCAGGGAGCAAGCACCGCGAGGCGGACCGCGGGGAACAAAGCGGTGCGGTCCAGATGTTTTTTGAGTAGTTTCGGTATTTTAGTTTCCGGGGAGTGGGGAGGGGAAGAGCGGGATGGCTGGTTAACTGCAAATATCTGTACTTAGATGTAGGGGGGAAATACCCCTACGTATATTAATGTCCTCATGGAATCACATTCCTATTCTCATGGTTCAGCAGGAGAAAAGATGTGTTATACAGGTAAGATAGTGCTATAGTCAAGACTGCAAGATGGTTTCCTTGAGTACCCTCCTTAAGTGGAATGCTTGTATAGATTTTGCACTGGAATAATTTCTTCCTTCTTTCCGTGGGGATTATCGCCCCACTGAAGAGCTAGGACAAGCAGCAGAAGGTCAGACAGAGTAGCAGCCACAATGTTTCTGTAACAAGGTGTCAGAAGAAGAGGGGAAAAAAATTCCACTGTATTTAAGGCCAAATGGCAAGTTGCATTCTACATGAAGTCATTTACAGCCAAGCATTGTGCTGTTATGCCTGATGCTTCAGGCTCCCTCTTAGTGCTGGGTGATGAATAGGGAATTGAGCAAGCATATTAACCATGCATAATCAAGCAGCAAGTGTTCTTCACTGCCTATATGTGTAGTACCTTCTGTTACAGGATCAGCGAGTATTCCTGAGCTTTCAAAAGACTGTTTCACCCTAAACTGAGTAGGATGCAGCTGCACCGTTTTTGTGTTGTTGGTAAGACAGTTTAATTTACTGAGAGTGGCAGGGGAAGGGGAAGCCTGGCAAAATAGAAACTCAGCACTTTTCTCAGGTGTAGGTGGTGAGAAAAGTTTAATCCAGGAGACTGCATGGAGTCAGACCGGGAACTTGTACAGTTTCTGTGCTGATTTTCAAAAGAAACTGAAGAACCAAACCAAGATTAAAAAAATAGCTTCATTTAGAAAATCAAATGCAGTCTAATTAGCATGCTCTTAGCACTTTGCCTTAACTTACTTCTGCCCTGTATCTAGAATTTGTGTATTAGGAATGTTTTGCTCCACATGTTACTGTATCATTGTCAGAAGAAAAGAGCCAGAAAAACAATTGCAGGGAGCAGTAAGGTAAGTGTTTAAAAGCAAAAGTATGGGTCACATAAATTCCCATAATATTAAAGATTTTCCAGTCTGGACAGAAAGAGTACTTCTCATTTTCATTTCTTGGCTTTCTTTTTTTATTATTTTTTTGTACTAATGATTAAGGTTCAGGTTGTAATTAATCTCTAAGTTAGCATGCATTCAATTTGTCTTATAGGGGCTGCAGATTAACAGATTTTATGCTTTACTGTAATAAATAGAAGTTGAATAGACTCAATGTAGTCTGACAGTCATCTCATATCCAAAAGCTCTCCTTCCAATAGGCACCTTGGACATGCAGGGGCATAACATCTGGCTTTTAACAGTAGCCTTTTAGGGATCAATTGAGTTAATAATTACAATAATGCTTTACTGTAAAATTAAAAATCAATTTGTGCACATGTCTGTGTGCAAGGCACGCTTCCCCTCACACCAGCAGAATTAGATTTCCTGACACAGCTCCTCCCTGCCTCTGCCTTTTAGTCTGAGCACCATCAAAGGCTCAGAGCACGTGATCAGCTATGTGTGATTTAAGTGATGCTATTGAATTTTTTCCACAGGGAACAATTACTATAGAGTGACAAGTCAACCATTTTGATGTTAACAGATCCAGCTCTGTTTAGTGATGGTAACCATAGTATATTCTGCCTAACCCAGTCTGAATATCTCACTGTAGCAGTTTGCTTCTAATTTAAAAGAACACTGTTTAACCTTAAAATAGGTTCTCATTTTTGGGTAATAGAGGCTTTATAATAGAATTTTACATATACATTGTAGACATTTCAGCTCTATGTTTGCAGTTGCTGCTGTCTGCAATAGCCCTCAAGAAGCCACTAAAATATGAGAAAAGCTAAGCAGCATGCTCTGACCACACCCCTACTTTGCCATAATTCATAAACCGAGACTCTGTGCTTGCTGCCACATTCATATTTCTACCTGGTCAGTCAGGACAAAGACAAAGCTGCTTTGTCCTAATGAAGCCAGTGCAGCATGCTTTTAATACAGCCAATGATCTGGGCTTCCCAAAATTTATTAAAAAGGACTCTTGTGTTCCCCAACATTGTTTATGCTAAAGGCTATTGCAAATAGAATATTTCTGCTAATTACTTGTATGTCAGCTTGGACAATAAACAATCAATATTTTACTGATGTAGTATCCACTGCAACTTTCTGTGTCCAGTTATGCATTCAGCACAGTAAATTAAATCTCAAGTTGCAATTTCTTTGTGGAAATGTTTATTTTAACTTCTAAAGGAGACTGCTGAAGTAATGGAAATGTTTCCATTTCACTTAAGTAAAAGACTATTTTTCAAAAAGGCTTGCACCAAAACCTGACCTGGATATATTTTTAATGTTAGAGCCACTGTTATGATCACACTACACAGCAACACAGTAAGCACACGTTTTTTTTTAAGGACTAAAAAAATCCTTATAAGCACAATCTGCACAAAAATGCTATAGTTAATAATCAACATGCGCTATAGAAAAGCAGAGACTTTTTAACTGCTGTCTGTATGAGGGAGAATGACAGGACACATACCTTTATACTGTATGGAGAATCAAAGTACCGTGTATTACCAAAATGTGTTTTTAATATTGTCCCCTAGGTATGGCTGAGATGGCTTATGTATTTTCTACAGGTCTAAAAAGAGAAAAAATCATTTTATGTATTGTATAGTGCCAATTTTCTGCTTGAATTCTAGCAATTTTTGGCATTAAACATAACTAGATTTTACTTATATCCATAAATGCCTTTAAATTGTTATATGTTACTCCCAAGTCTACTTTTTAAAAAAGGCATTTAAATGTACACTGCAATAAGCAATTATGTACTGCTTAATTTTAGAAGAAAGGGCCTGCTAACTAAAAACGAGCAATCTCAGTGACTTGCTTCAAGTAGCAGGTAATATTTTCAGTGATTTTTGAAGGTATAGGTTCTAACTTCTAAATATTTGTAATGTTTAAGCATTTAAGTTTTCCACAACAGAAGAAAATTGTAGCTGCACTCCAGGCATTATTGCTGTAATCATGTAGTTTTATGTCTCATAGGTCAAAGTCACTCCAAAATCTGTGAAAATGTTAGACTGTGGTTGAATTGTGACATTGTTGTAAAAAGGGACAATCCATAATTGGAGCTGACAGCACAATGCTGTCAAGATTTGCAGAAATATTCACTTCCATTTTATTTGTCTTGAACAAGTAGTTTCTGAGAAATGGGCAGTTTGGAGACAGTATTTATGTAGAATTGCAATGAATACAAAATTTTCCTCCTTGAGTAAGTTCTACTCAGCTTTGTTTCTAGTGCTTGGGATGGGGGCAAGAAGAGGAAAACTGTGGGAGAGAGGGCAAGACCTGCACATACAGTTGCACTTATCCACTGGGAAGCCACCAGATTTTGGTGAGTCCTGACTTGGTCATGCACGTACTGCCCTTTGAGGGCTCTACTGTCAGAGCTACTCAACTTTTACTCTAAAAGGAGGCTGAATGCTGTCATACCTTATAGAAGTGACCAGCAAACGTCCTCTTGAGTAAAAGCAGGAGCAAGAAATTAGTGATTATAGAAAATGTCAGTGAATGTGAGAGAGACTGAGAAAACTCTCAGACTTGAATCTTGTGCTGCAAATTTGAGGTTTCACAAACATATTTAAAGAACGGAAAGCTCACTCTGTGCAAGCTGACCCCAGACTCCTCAGTGGGAGTAAGTGCCTGGGCAGAATGCCTGCTCCTCTGTCAGCGATGATTATTCTCTCTGGCCTAATACTTGATAGTTTGCATTCTTCACTCACCTGCTATTTTACAGAGCAGAGGTGATGGACCTGGACTAGCTCCTGATTGCAACAACTGCATGAAACAATTTGTTCTGTTATTTTTCAGATTTCTTTTTTTTTTTTTTTCTTTTTTTTTGAGATGTGTCTGAGGCTGCTATCAAAAAATTACACTTGGGTATTTTTAGATCTCTTGCTACTTGTCCTCAAAAAATGCAACTTGACAAAACTTGCAAATACAGACATCTGAGATATTCCACATGAAACACACAGATCCAAATTATTGAAAATTTCTGAAACAAACAGAATTTCCATTAAAGTTCCATTTAAGATGGTTATACAATCTTCTTTAAACTTGGAACCAAGATGTCTCAGAAATTATAAAAGAAGAGTAACCCATACACAACCAATATTCTACTCACAAGAAGTTTATCCTCTGCCTGTCCCCTTAGCTTTATGCCAGCATAAAAGGATTATTCTTGCTGCATTTGCAGTAAAGAGTTGCTCTGGTGATATGGTTTGCTATGTTGCTTTGGAAGTGCATTATAACTTCAGCATCACTTATACCAAGCAGAAAAGCATTAAACTGGCATCCTAAAAAGTATGTGAGATGATTTTTAAAGGTGCCCTTTGTTAACATTCACACAACATCTGTTGAAACTTGCACTTTGGAAAATAGTGTGTGACCTATGACACAGCTCAACTACAGAATAAAAACAAGATGTAACAATTCAGTTCAGTTTTGAGATAATTAAAAATGCATATTCTTCAGATAATAAGATGTTTACTCTAGAAATATGTTACCAGGGAACAGGTTACAATTAAACAACATAGGCTATCAGAAATTCTGATTTAAATATGAATTACATCAATGCTTAGACTTACATCAGTGTCTTATGGAAAAAACCCTACAAGATGCACTATGATTTCAGAGCAAACTGCAGAGAGCACGTTCTGGGCTCGGTTCTAGGTAGCTGATTGCTGTCTCAAGAAGTACAGTAAAGGAAAGAGTTTAACGTGGGTTTACTGTACAATCACACCCCCACTCCCTTGTCTTCTAAAAGGCATCAACTTGAATAGCATTCTATTACTGTTACATAATTTCAAAGTTTAACCATATACAGCTGCTTAAATCTGAAAGCTGAGATAATAAATGCAAGACAAGTATTTTCTCTGAGATCCTTAAGACTTCTATTAACTACTGTTCCTCAAGTACAATCTATTTCAGTGTTAACAATAGCAAAAATACCCTTTAAAGTGACAAGCCACATCTGCCACTCAAAAGTACACAAATTTTAATATATTTTAAAACTGACTCAAGCAGAAGAGAGATAATCTCTCCCTCTTGACTATTTCTAAAAGAGTTAAGAGTGATTAACAGTTTTGCTTTAGCACAGGGTTTTGGTGATTTTTTAGCTCTTCTATATTGTGCTTGAAATAGAAGCTTTTCACTTTTAAGCAGGATGTCTTGCTTCAACATTTTCTCTGCCAAAAGAAGAGTTAAGCAGTCATTTTATTCCTTTCACTTACTCCAAATATTGGTACAGCCATGTTGGGAAAAGGGGTAAAATTCCATAGATTTCTTTCAGGTAATTGCATTGCAAAGAGGATAGCAGGAAAATTCATTACCAAGAAGCTGTGAAACTTTGTTTTCTTTCTTTTCTAAGGAATAACTGGCTGGAGAAAAAACAGAGTTTAAGCCTTTCTGGGAAGAGATAGTATCTAAGGAAAGTAAGCAGATATCTGTTGAGGGGCTGTAGCTTTCTGTACAGGCTACTCCATGCTTCCTGTATTGCTAAGCAGTACTGTCATTGAAAATAATGAGAGATTCTGTCTCAGTGAGAAATGACAAGTGAAAATACATCAGAATTATAAGTGTGCCCTGAAACACTTCAAGTATCACAGACTAGAAGAAAAAATACTCAGTTCCCGACTCCTTCATCACAGTTACTTCTGTGAAATCAGCACTGCCATAGAGATGAGAGATCAAAGATTTATAGCTTTTCCTCTAGGAGTCCTTCATTGAGCTTGAAGCTGAACTCTATTGATGACCCTACATGCAGAAAGAAAAGACAGGGAGAGTCTAGAAAACACAGCATGGACAGGAGCCTCTTATGCAAGCTAAGGAACTGGCAGCAAAAAATGAAGAAAGATAAGAATCTTGTTAAGTTTATAATTTCTATGTGAACTGGTATGTGTTAGTAGATCTAGTCAGAGGATTGAGAGCAGTTGGTGTTCTCTTGTTTCCATGAGTGAGAGGAAAGAAGGATAAAATCCCTCTTGGAATCCCTTAGTGCCTCTTTGAGAGAGAAAGAGAAGGAGGAAGAGACCCTGGCGATATGAATCCCTGGGCAGGTGGATACAGACACTGCTGGAACATGCTGGAGATGCAGATCCTTGCTAGTCCCAGAGGATGCACATACCACATTTTCACAACAGAGCTTTAAGTTGTTGTTACTCTGCAAGCATGGCAAGATAGAGTAAGTAAAGATGACTCTGTAGTCTAAAAACAGTCCTTCATTGATTCTAGTCCTGGGGAAACTTTTCTTACTCCCACAGCAAAGCTGGAAAAATTACTGAAAAAAATCTATTCCTGATAAGGTGCAATTATGTAAATTACTCTATTTACTGCCAGGGTATCAGCTATATGATAAACATTCCTTTGAAAGGACAGTGTACAGTAGAAATGAAGCACAAGAAGTTGGCTACCATAGCCTGACAAACCCAATATCCTCCTCTTTATTTCTTCCAAAGAAAACATAATGTAGCCAAGGGACATGGGGTGAAAAACTACAGGCACAGCTAAATCTTTATTGAACATTGACATATTTGTTGAAAGTTTGTCTGATGCATAGCACACAGGCTGCTGTTGCACACTCCTAATGGCAACAGTCCTGCGAGAAAAGGCTATGAAACACAGAGGAATCAATGTATAGGTACAGAACCCCACCATACCAGACCACTAGGTCAGCACAAAAGAAGTGTTCTTTCTTATGTTGACTCTTTGGGCTTTCCAAGACAGTCTTCACAAGTAACTTACAGCAAATATGTGATGTTCATCTCGGCCAGCTGATAAAATTAATTGCTTTCATTATTTCCCAATGGCAAGGTCCTTCAAGTCTAGCTTATACATTAACCTTGCAGATCTTACACATTAAACTTTAGTCAGCTAAGCCCAGTCTAAAAGAGAATGAAAGAAGAAAAACCCCAATGGAGGTCTCATTTGGGTCTCTCATTCTCCTCATGTCTTAATGTTTTTAACTATTACTTCTCACACAATTTTTTCTTGAACAAACACATTTCAAATGTTACACCTAAGAGGAGTAATTTAGTTTACTTAGTTATTGTGAATAAATACATCCATTATGCCTATTCACTCCTTTACCTGGTGGTCTCCCAGCAGCTACCTACAATTCTTCAAAAGGGCTCCATAACACAACCACAAAGAAAGTTTTCCTCCATCAGTTTCAAATTAATCTATTTCCTTCCAATAGAAACTAGGAAAATCCTGACAGATGGAAGAACCAGTAAACAGCTTCAGTCCTGGAATGGCTGCATATTAACTCTATGTCAGGCAGAGATTACAGCTCTAATTTCATAATCTGCCTCTGAAGAGCTACTTCTGACAACACTGCAAGGCCCAGATCCAGATTTCTCCATTCAGAACTTGTCTATAGAGTCTTTATATCTGTGCCACAACTCAGCCGTTTTTACAGAGTATGAAAAGTCACTTAATTTAGCTTCTTACTGAACACATTATAGGTAAATGGAACAGCATGCAATGCCCGGTTTTAAAAAGTAAGAAAAAGAATAGTAAACTCTACACAGTGGTGTTCCTATTGCTTTAGTATGTTGCAATGGGCATTTCTTGCCAACTGGGTGTGACTTGCTCACAAAGTTTTAATAAAATGTAAATATATTTAATTATAATACAATGTAAAAGATATGATAAAATTAAAGTCACAGTGGAGAGATTTTATTAGCCTAATATAAAAATTAAGTTTTTATTTATTTTACACTTCTTTAACTATATTGGTGGAAATTCCAGCTGTAATTCTCTTTGGTAACTGAGATTATTTAAAACAAAAGCATAAAATCTTGAAATCTTATGAGGCCTAACTTTTTTTTTTTTTTTTAAAAAGAGGGATTTAATTGAGATTCCTTTTACTTAATAGCATGCTAAGTAGTAGCTAGCTCTTTCTAGCCTAGCATGTAACTAGATTTTGTCTGCTCTTAAAATACCCTTCCAATGACATTTTCGTGAATAGTTTTATTCTTCTGAAACCAGTTTACATGTTATTTCAAGTAGAGTAAATTATCATAGGTGATGTGTTCACCTAACAACAACAACATTCCTTAATGTTCATGGGACAATGCTTGCTTGCTTTGAACCCAGGCTACAGAGTATATCCTTGTAACAAAAAGGGAAGATAAGTTGTAGCTCACCAGTTTCCTCTTCAGCTTTCTTGAATCTGGATACTTGCTCTTCTTAGTCTAAGACATCTGTAGCTTCACTTAATGAGAGAAAAAGCATATTAGTTCTCTGTTGAAGATTTCTGGACAGTTCAAATTTCTTTGCCTCTGTTGGTTATATTTAATCATAATACTTGCCATGATCACATGAGTACCTCACTTAATAGGGTTTTGGAGACAATCACCTTCCTACTGAAGTCACATTCTACAATTAGGGAGTTGATTTGCCTGAGACAAAGACAGAAAAGAAATTAATTTATTCTCACTCTCTTCTATGCTTCTGTCTTGTTTGACTGTTTTCACTTTCTGTGCACAAAGGAAAAAAGGCCTGAGCAATGGCAGAAAAACACTGTGTAACTTAGTAAAACTTTACTGTACCACTGGAATTATTTCTTATACTGGCATAAATTCTGTTACTAATATAGTAATACAGTTTTAGCTTTCTAGCCCAGAAGGGATGACTGTATTATGAACACACTTCTACCAGCATAAGAGCATCAGACTGTGAGTAGACCTGTTTCAGTGGCAATGTTTACTTTGGAAGCAAGCCTTTCTCAGATGGGCAGTCCCTCATGAGAGGCATTAAATGACAGGTATAAATTCATCCTGGAAGTCATAAGTACAGTGCAGTAATATAATCCATCTTACTAATTATTAGTTATGACTGTAAGTACACTCTGTTTTCTTTATCATTAAGAAATGCTAAGTGTGGAAGAAATCCAGAAGATTACAAACAATGACATGCAAACCTGCAAATCGACTGGGAGTTTTAATCTTCTGGGGCTTCTTCATTGTGGACAGCTACCAACTGCAGATGCTTCGCTGACTAATTTGCACTAGCAATAAACAATATTTGAATTTGTCCAGGAAAGGAACAGAAGGTCTGAGAAAGGATTATCAATACACATTAAAAAAGAAGAAAGGCTGGTATGTCTCTGGTGAAGTTATTATCTGTGTGGTTCATTTCTACAACTGAAAATTGCACAAAACCCAAGTAGTTGTTTATAAAGCTTTCAACACTATCTAACTGAATCTTAGCTATTGGAAGATTATAAAGTGAGTATAGTGTACGAAAATAAACCAAACTGCTACTATAATAAGAAATACTATACTCTCAGGGCTTCATAAAGCAATTTTGCATCCAGGCCTGACTGACTTACAAGCAAATAGAACTTTTCATCACAAAGATTGCTAGATTGTTTAGCAGTATGCCAGCCCCTGAGCTACAAGACAATCTATCCTATCTGTAACACTGATACCACCACAAAGAAGTTATTATCTAACTTATTGACAAAAAAGGTAACAATCTTACGCTTCTCAGGAGCTATTACTTGACTCCTGTAATATCTGAAAGTACTTAGATGCTTCTTTCAGTGATTGTAGAGTAACTGTGCCACATGAAAGAGAACTGGATTAGGCCTTCCTTGCATTCACACATGTAATCCCCAGATAGAATTCAGGGACAAGTTAACAAATTGAAGAAAATTACCCTAAAACTTTCAGGAAAAGAAATTAAGTGATAGACAAACAATTTGCAAAGAAACCTGTAAGAAGGAGGATGCAGAAGAAAGCAACCATTAAGAGACAAGGATGGGATAGAGAGGATTGAAATACAGAATATTTGGGTGCAGCAACAATTGTTTTAAAAGCTTCTGAATAAAAAATTAACAGCTGATGGCATACTCACTAGGACTTATATCTAGTCTGAGAAGGAGAGCTGTTAAGATAGTGAGTGAGCCAGCAAGACAGATGGCTGGTGAAGGAACTGACACTGCAAGAGCTGGAACATTCAGTAGAGAGGAAAAACAACAGCTATACCCATGATGGGACTGCTGCCAAGCACGTAAGTGAAGTGTGCAGAATCACACAATTTCAACAGTTTCTATAGAAATGTCGATGATGTGCTGAACTGCAGGCAATGTATAGGGCTCCAAGCTGACAGTTCCACATCAGCGCAGAAGCAAATAGACAAAGGAATAATTAAAGGTCATTACCTGAAAAAAACAGCAGCAAATAGCTCAGAGATATGAAATTGTACAAGTGAGTACAAAGAGATTTTACAAGTGAGGAAATGCTCAATAGGCCTAAGCACAGAAGAGATGAATATATCCCCTAGAATTCATTTGAAAAAACTACCTCTTGTATTCAATATGAAAAACAGTGTCAGAAGCTAAGGATTATGACATCACCTCACCCCTCCTCCTCAATTTAAATCTGTCAACTAAGAATAAAATAGTTTCCATAAAGCTTGCAGCTACAGATTTACTATCAGTAACATTCCAGACATTCATAACAGTCAACTTCAACACCTGCATCTTGAAACCCACTAAATATTTGCAGTAAAGTTTCCACATACTTTCAAATATTTTTAGTACCATTCACTTCTCTTTACACTGACAAAAAGCCCCTGAAAAATCTGGCCATAACAAGAAGAGGAAAACTGCATCCTTCTTTTGAGTTCTGTGATGGTGTTTCTGTATTTAGCATTACCACACAGACATACACTGAAGCACACATAGTTTTCATTAATCCTGCACTGTATAATAAGTGCTTAAGCTGTACAGTTCAAGAAAAACAGCTCATTGCTGAAGACAGATCTCCAGAAATTCTTTAAGCACTGATGAGTTTATTACCACTACTGCAATAGAAAAATGACTATGCCATAGACAAGTACAATATTAAAAATCATGTCAAATTTTGTACAGAATATGATTATCTTTCTGGTATTTGGGAAATTAGATTACTTTTCAAGATGCAGAAAGATTTTAAATAGACACCAGGCAAACTAATTAAATAGCCAGTATGGGACAGCTCCAAAACATTATAGATCACACCTTAATGCAAAAAGCCAACATAACTATGAAGAGCTCAAGTCAGGCATGAATAAGGCTAGTAGGGCTTTTTGATTATTATCAGTTAAGGCACCTTTTCACTGGTTTAAGAACTGTGTAGTCAAAAATTTGTTGCATACCATTAGAAAGATATGGGTTTTGCCCTTCACAAGAACACCTGACTCCCTGGAACAGGGGACTGACCAAATCCTCATAGCCACCACCGCCCCAGTGCCCTGAGCATCCCCGCCCTTACACCACCCTCACACCGCCCTCACACCACCCTCACACTGCCCTCACACCGCCCTCACACCGCGCTCCCACCTTCACACCGCCCTCAAAACGTGACCCTGCCCTCACACCTCCCTCACACCAAGCTCCCGCCCTCACGCCATGGCCCCGCCCCCTCCACCAGAAAGCCAATCAGAGCGTGCTGACCTCCGCCCCCACTGCCAGACAGCCAATGGGAGAGCGTGTGGTGGGAAAGCGGGACCCAGCCGGCAGCGTGTTCGGGTGGATGAGGGCACTGCGGCGGCTCCCTCGAGGTGGTCTGGGAGCCTCAGTAGCCAGCACCAGCCGCCATGGCTCTCCTCCCCATGGGTGTGTCCCGGTAGCCTTGCAGAAAGAGGGAGAATGAGGGAAAAGAAGTGAGGAAAAAGTAGACACAGGAGGGTGCAGGAATAGCAGCACCTGAGAGAGGCCAGTGGGCGGGAGACATGCCCACCATCTCCGGATGTTGAGGGTCATCTCCTCAGACCAGGACTTCGCTTTGTAAAGCTCTTGGTTCGCTTTCTCCAGCGTTGGCATTGGAAATCAACCCTCCTGAAGCTGCTTAACAGTGTGAAGCAAAAAAGGTGTTTAAATGACAGTAGCTTTACTAAGTAATTAAATTTTTTATTAACTAACTTGTTATTAAAGAGGCATTGTTTTAATAGATAATTTTATTTCTGTCGCTGTGCAGATCCTTACCCAGACTGAACCGAGCTGAAATCAAAGTTACAGTTTCTCTTGAAGGGAGATGCAAGGTGAGGCTCAGGGCAGATGTACACATTTTCAGGGCATCTCATGAGGGAACAGCCCAGCGCACAAAACGGGGAGGTAGACAAAAACAACAACAAATGATTAGTGAGTCTTGCAGGACAATGTCTTTCCTCTGAAAGAACGAACGAAATTTTCTCTTACTGACAAATGATGGAAGCACAGGAAGCACATGGATCTCCCATCCTCTCCCTCTTAAGTGAGTGAACCTGTAAATTGGGTAAGCACTCTTAATCCTCTAGGGTAGCCTGGGGTGGCTCTTCCCTAAGCCTCCATCAGATTTTATTGAGGGCTTAGGATCTTGAGATCAAATTGATTAGCTATTCTGTGTTGTATTTGCTCAAGGGACAGGAAGGAAACACCTTAGGTTACTTGCTAATGAATAATGTAATTATACACCAGGGTATTAGAAAGGTTTTACACTTAATCCCTTATGTTTTTGTTTTCTCTTAAGAATCATCTACGTTTAGATAAGCTAGAATTAACATTGCCTCTTTGAAAAGTCTGTATTTGTGACCACGGTAAAAATAGTTTTTGTTAAGAAAATAGCACGCTTAAATTATCAGGGCAGGTGGCAGAAGTAAAAATCCAAGCACTTCATGCATATATTTTAAAGGCAGGAGTTCCTTAACAGATGTATGGAGACTTCTCCTCATAGCTCTGATCACAGCAGAAAAATGATGGTTCTTTTTCTATGTGGTAGTTCAGGGAACTAATGGAAAGTGACTTTCTAGTGTAATAACTATATGAATTGGCCAAAACTGTCATTTCAGTTTTACATTTGAACACAGAAGCATAAACAACAACTCTACTGCTAAATTCTAAAATCCTCAAATAAACTCCAGTAACAGAACTTTTATTCCTGTCTTTGGTAAAAAGCATTGTGCTGAAGGCAGAATTTTGGCCTTGGTATTTCATATTTTATATTAAAGTTCAAAGTTGTGAAAGCTTTAAAATGTGTAATTCAATCTCATTTTGCACACTTTCTTTAAGGAAGTGAATTCTGGGGTGTGTGTTAAAGCTAAGTGATACCATTCTAGCCCACGTAAATAGCAAATGGTTATGTTCTCTTTCACAACTCTATAAATTTACAGTTGGATGAATATCCTGGGTTTTTTTTTCTTTTTTCCTATGGTGTGTAAACTGGGATAATTTACAGACATTGAACCGGATTTGGTTAAAGGAAAAGAAAGGTGTGAGGGATTGCTACATTTTCCTTCTGGCCAGCTCATTGTTCTGGCTCTTATCTACTGTCTCTGGCAACACCTCAGGCTGATATCAGTGAGGAACTGGCAAAAGGAAGATGTGCTCAGTTCTGGCTCAGAAAGACTAATACATAAATAAAAAAGAGGCTAAACCCAAAAGTGGCTAGTGCCAGTAAATGTAGTAGTAGTGAGCTGTGTGATTTTGAATATATTTATTCAGTAGATTTACTCTGTTCTAGGTTGCCTCTTGCCTTTTTCCTCCCCTAGTAGAAAAATACTGTCAGGACTCTCTTTAGTGACTACAGTGCTGAACATATGAAAATGGATTTTTAAGAGCTTAGAGCCAGGTTTTCAAGTACTTGGCATCTATAATTGGGGCAGATTTTCAAAAGAGGTTAGCACTGACTGTTCTGAGCTCTTGTGAAGATTTGTCCATTTTGATTTTGTGCCTAACTGAACTGATTTGTTGAAAATCTGGTCTCTGTAGCTAAGCATGACATTCTTAGAAGGCTGTGAGGGCAGTAATAACACTTCCAAGAAAGAAAAAAAAGCTCTACAGCACCCCCCACTCAGTTCAGTACCCCAAAACTGCCACCCAGAGCAGAGTATGAGTAAGGCAGGGTTATAAGTTGGTATGTGCTGCCAAACAGTTTTCTAGGATTTCACAGTGAAAACAAGTATGGTTTTGCTACTTCTCTTCTGGATGTGTTTATTTAAAGTAAAAGCTGCTGTGAAAGGAAGCTATAAATGCTAGTTATAAGAGTGCAAAAATGTCCTATGTGTTTGGGAAGCCACAAGAGGAAAATGCTTTAATTAAAATTTACTGTAGCTGTTGTTAATAATGTGAATTCTGAGATAACAGCACTGCTTCTAGAGTTGTGCTGCCTTTTGACCTGGGGCCTGGGATAAACATTTTGATTGTCTATCACTGTAATCAATGGTGTATATCCTACTGAATTTGATTTAGCAGTGTTGAGTCCTACATTAAAATAGTAGCAATATGAACAAAAGGAATGTTTTGTGTTGGAAAAAAAATTTAAATCAGCCATGGACCATCTTTTTTACTGGCAGAGATGTTACAGGGTGGTAATATTGATTTATGTGGTCTTTCTGGCTAGTTATGTCACTTACTATTGCAGATTACTGCAGAAGATTTCTATTTCTGTTTTCAAATAATTCCTTTTATTTGAAATTAATTTAGTGTCCATTTCTGCAATGCTTTGGCCTTGTCTTTGGTCTCTTAATCACTGTGTCTGAAGAATGAATTATTAATTGTTCCAGCTGAAGAAACAAACCAATTATTTTCTGTGTCCTTTTGAAGGGAAGAGACAAAACAAACCAAAACAGAGTTTTATTTTTGCACTGTACTACTTTTGGCACAGTTGAAATAAGGACTTCCAATAATCCAGGATAAGCAAACAATAATACTGTAATTTTCATGTAGGAAGTATGGGATACCTGTCTACATGCTAGGGTTGCATTTTTAGAATGGCTGAGTGAACCTCCAATAAACAAATGAAAATAAACTGAAAATTACTACATTTGAGTTGGCAACTCTCAGAGCAGTAAGATCCAGACATTCACATAGAGGTGATAAGGGAAGAGAGATGAGCTGTTGTTGAGATACCTGCTTTACAGACATTTTGTAAAATTGAGCTGGAGATTAAGGCATCATGCTATTTCTAGCTTTCCACTGCTAGCCGGAGTGAATTCTAGGCTTTAAAAAATAAATAAATTAGAATAAGATGGTAATTGTAGAGATTGAAAAATCTTGCATGAAGGGAACTGCTCTTACATAGTCACTGCTCTGTGAGCTCCTGGTACAGTCCTATTTTGCTTCCATTTTGTCTGGGTGGTTGAATAGAGGTTGTATTTTGTTACTTAACTGTCATGTTGTGTCATTACTCTGCTTTGCTGGTGTCAATTGCAAGTAAGTTTACTATGAAAGATTTGGACCAGACTTTGAGAAATGTTCTTGAGTACCTTTTTAGCCATGGGCACAAAGGTCTGGAGTTTGTTGTCCTTGTACAGTTGCATATATACACACTAATAAACACATGGGTCCTCTGAAGTCAGTGTGCCATATAGATTCTATATTTATTGATATCAATTCCATGTAACAGTTGCTAATATTTCATCTTGTGATTTATTTTTTAGAAGTAAAACTTGTACACTGAAATGGCAAACCAGAGCCTGTCCTACTCTGTAGTTCCCAAAGCTATTTTCCCAGGCACGTGACTGGGTCACTGTGCTTTCTCTCTGTCTTTTATGGCATGTACATCGGGGTCACAGTGGTAAATAAACAGCTTGGAGAAGGGTATGTTTTAAAAAAATATTTTTTACTGATTATTTATTATCTTTAGTCTTTGCATTGAAAGAATCTCAAGGCTAAAGAAGTCCCACAGCGCTCACAAGCCTCATTTTGAACGAAGAGTATTTGATGTCTTTATGATAAGACTGAGCATCCTTTTGTCACACTTTTGGAGTGGGTGGATAACTTAGCTCTGTTTTACATCTGTATCCCTTGAATGTCCTTCTGCAAATGAAAATTTAATTTGGTGAGGTTAATACACGGAATTTGATTCAGTTTGCTCCTCACTGACATTGTGAGCCCATTATGGCATCATTACTCTCCAATTACAGGCATGAAGGTGAGAAGTGACCTAGTAAGGAAGGGTACACACCCAGAACGGTGTAGTGAGAATTTTACATGAGGCAAAAGGGAAAAAAAAATAAATCTATTACGCTGACACCTGCCAAAAGACTGTTTCTCATAAATGACTGCTTTGAAAGAGTCCCCAAGAAGGGATTGTGCTGAGCATTACTGTGCTGTTGGTGGGATGTGTCTCGGGTGCAGATATCTACAATTTCTGTAGTTTTATGTACTGCACAGTACCTGTACAGAAACAAGGTCAAGCAATTTGGTATCTTTGTATTTATTTAACTTGTGAGAACAATGTCTAAGCTACAGTTTAAAATAATGTAATATGGA